TTATAGCCAATTTTTTTTATACAAGTACTGTACAGGTATATGGTAAAATTTCAGATTATGAAAGATATTTACGAACATGTATGACGTACATGTTGCCATGGGATGCGACCACCCTTCTCAGTGTAAACGAGTATACACGTGTCGGACCTGTTGGTCAGAGTCAATTCACATTGGTCAGTCGTGGAGTGCACATATATGGTCTACCACTCAAACTTTTTTCACTTGCTTTTCCATCATTACCCAGTGTTTGAGCCATTATATCTGATAACTCTTGATCAAGCACCTCAAAAGGAGTTTCTAAGAGGCAAATACAAGACTTTAAATATCCAAGATTATGTTTAAATTTTTATTGGGGCAGATAAAGGAAAAGTATCATTGTTGTTTTGGTTTTTTTACCCTGGGAGAAGGTGTCACTCATACAGTATTTTGTAAAATCTTATCTCGAATTATGGGGGATTTACTGTTTCGCAACTCACACTTGGTGCTGTCACAACATTATCATCGTCAGTGTTTAGCAACAATTTTCCATGATTGCATGGAGCCATGATTACCTGATGGCAGCTCTCCATGCTGCTCATCTCTCTTGCAGCCTCTCTAATCAGGATTTTGTCTCCTGAAGCCATTTCCTGCAATTTGTCCTTATGTCACTCATGGCCTACCCATGGCTGTCCTCCCCTCCACTTTCAACCTCGTGCATCTCTTGACTCAGTTGGTCTCCACATGCTTGTAAGAGGTGAACCTCTCCAATCTGTCACCTTCGAGACCAGACCAGAGCCGGACCTTCCGACCCACAGCTGGTCATTACGGTACATTACGGTACCACTGTGTCACAGCCTCAGGAATGCTGGCTGCCTGGCCTCGATGCTCGCAATAGCACACAGCCTAGCTAGGATGTTTCCTCTGCCTACTCCTTAGCATCAGGACTCTATCACTCTGCTCCTCCTCCCCTACTCAATGTGTAAACTCTTGTAAATGAAGAAATGTTTATTCCTTTATGTTTTTTACTTTATGATAATTATTTCTTTTATTTATTTATTTTTTGTACATTATGTATGAAGGAATGTGTGTGGATGAAACTGATTAACACCCTAAACCTATTGGACAACCCCCAAGATAACAGACGGATGTCTGTTATCCCAAGGAGTTGTCTGATAGTTCTTCATTGCATAAAGAATATGTAACTATAAAATTAAAACACATATGTATGGTATGTAATAAAATTAAAGTATACAGTTGAAATTTTACTCTACCTTGTAGGTGCTGTAGCTCTCAAAGCTTTTTCAAATGGCCAGTGCATGAGTGCTGATGCTGTGTGAGTATGTACACTTGTACAGTACATACAAGACACATTTATACATTTTCACAGTACATGTGTACACACTTATTAAACAACTGTGCTGTATACTCAATGTAATACACTTGAATACTGCTCTCATATCTTGGGTGGTTCTTCTATCCAACTGTTAGATAAGATAGAATCAAAGGCATTTCGTCTTATTGACTCTGCTCCTTTAGTCGATAATCTTTCTTCCCTTTCTCTTCACCGCAATGCTGCTTCACTCTCTCTCTTTTACAGGTACTTTAACGGGCAGTGTTCGGTGGATTTGTATCCTGTTTGCCTCCAGCAAGGTAGTGGGCTCGTGACACTCGTCTTGCCTGCAGTGCCCACCGTTTCTGTGTGGATGTCAATCAAATGAGAATAACCTTCTTTCCTCACACAGCCAAACTGTGGAATGCTCTGCCTTCTGTGTTTCCATACTCTTACAATCTGTCTCACTTCAAAAAGCTGGTTTTCCGGCATATTCGTGGTCTTTTCTCTTTTATTTTCAAATTCTCTTTACTTTTATTTTTTTGCTCCTTAGGCCCTGTTGTGGGTTGATGACCTGTGTCTGGGTGAGCTATTCCCTGTAAAAAAAAAAAAATACTGTATACTTAAATTGTCTTATATATTGTAGCAGATTTAGAACTCACAGTGAAGTACAACAGAGGTGGTATTTACAGTGCGGGCCACACATTGAAACTAAGATGCTGACGTGAACTCAGACTTTCCCTCTGGTTAACAGAATGTTTCTCGGGATTATCGAACATTATCACACATCGGTTTTAAAATCCTGTTCTTTCGGCTTTTGAGAGGTGTCGCCCCGATCAGTCTGTTATTTCGAAGGTACCCCCAAAATTCCGGGTCAGGAAGGCATTCCCTATAATACAATACAGTACTGTACATTGTTTCTTATGAGAAATTTAATTTTGCATACTGTATTGAATTTTACACTCAACAAGGGTTTTCTGATTCAGAATCCTTGCAATAAACAAAGACTATCTGTGCATAGTTTTTAAAGAATATCGTTATTCAATTAAATGTGTACTGTACTTATAAAGTCTTAGCTGTTATTTTAGTACTGTATGTTTTTGCGGAAATGTATTTGTTACATACAATTTTTTATGGACATAACCCTTCTGTATCCAGAAAAATGCCTGTACAGAGACTCATAGAGTGCTGTGACCCAATTGTAGGCAAATTTCTCCAAACAATTATACTGTATATGGACGATCTGACCTTCCCGTAGTGTTTCTATAAGTGTGAATTAGGTATACTGTACAGTATTTTAACACTGGCTGCCCCAACAGATCTGTTCACAGCTGCATTGATTGATGAAAAATGTTGGACAAATTTCATGAAGTTTTGAATATCTTCATTAGTTTCTAGAAAATCAGAAGTCAGAAAAAATTGATGATTAGTGATAAAGTTGATAACAGTGATCTGACTTTCCTTGGGATTCTAGCAGTGCACAAAGAAGAAATGTTGTTGTTAGGCCTTTTATTTTTCAATTAAATGGAAATTTGTCTGGCCTGACAACAACAGCTAGTATATTTTGTTTTCATGCCCCCCTTCTTTGTTGTTGTGATAACTTGCCATCAATATTCATCTTAACATTACATTAAATATGTATTTTTGCTTGCCCTAATACAATTTTATCTAAATGCATGACATAATGTATAATTATGTAAAATGAATGCATCGTGCATGAGTGTCCGACTCCATCTTGCAGAGCTGTAAGAGTCCAGTGTTAGCAAAAGTCCTGCAAGTATTTTCATATTACTGTACTGTACAGTACTATCAGTATTTTACTTACCATGAGGTGCAAAACTCTCTTAATTGGTCACCTGGACTATGCTAGAATCTGAAATGCTTGATCCATCAGAAACGCTTTTTCTATATATAGACATAAAGACAGTAACTACAGTACACAGAATTATTAGGTATTGGAAACACATAGGAAGTTATCTTTTCTATCTGCTAAAACCTTAATGTTGTAAATTATTTAATGTAGAAATTGCTTTACATAACTATTTTCATATTGTATTTCAAGTACCCTGTACATTTTTTTAGTTAAAAGCTAAATGGGTTAAAAATCATGTGATTGGAATTAACTGTGTTTGAAAAGAAACTAAAATGTGTCAGGTTTAATTTGATTTGATTAGAAGCACAGCAAGAAGTTTTGTGTAATTGGATCCTATAAGGCTGATGGCCTTTTAAAGGTAGTGCTGATACACCACAGTAAATACTAAGCCTTCAACACACAAGGAGGTAGCATGGCTGGCACCGAACTTAAATCAAGTGCTGTATCCACTCGGTTCCCTTATCCCTAATATTGTAGTAGAATAAGACCACATTGACCAATCACCATCTAAAGCAGTCTAGAAGGACGTTATCAATAGTTCAATAGCTGGCAGTATTGAATAATCAAACCATAGACACATCACCAAAAGAGCCTTAATAAGTCAATCACTTTCAGGTCAATATGCCATTAGCTTGTCAATTATACAGTCCAGTACTTTATTATTAGGTTACTGTATTATGAAAATACCAATAGGCCACAAGGGAGGATCCATACCAGGTTTTTCGGGTTCCAGAATCTTGTCATAATTTTCCCTGTATCTGAGCACCCAGCAAAAGGTAAAATATATAATTATGATTAATATAATTTGTACAGGGAAGCATTGCATGTTCCAAAATCACATTGCTAAAGCTGGCCCATGTCAAAGGAATAATTCCACCACTTGCCGGTTTTGTTCAGTCATGTGAGGTTAAAAAGGATTATAGTGTGTTTTTTCTCAGCTGAGAAAAGATGCCCCTCCCCCTCCTCAAGAGTTACAGCTGATTGGCGGTTTCATATCTGTTCGATTTTGTCCTGAAGTAATGATGTATTTCTAAACGAGTTTATTCATAATCGTTGGGGTGACCGTTTCTGACGAGAAAGATATTTAGCTAAATTATATAAAGATACATACATTCATTATTTCAAACAGGAGCACATAGGAAGTTGATCAGAAATCTTATACAGTACATGAATTAACTGTTAAACTCTGGTAACAAATACTGTACACGCTTTCGGAGGACGCATTTAATATATACAGTACTTATTTTTACCGACAATAAGGCATACTAAGATAAATTACATATCAGTAAAACTACATTATGCAAACTAACATTTTAAAATGATTATGAATAAACTCGTTTAGAAATACATCATTACTTCATGAAGAAATCGAACAGATTTGCAACAGCCAATCAACTGTAACTCATGAGGAGGGGCGGGGCATCTTTTCTCAGCTGGGAAAAACACACTATTGTAACAACGTTGATACTTTAATGTGATGGGATTAGTCATGATTGGCAATGCCCAGGGAAAGGATTGGTCCTAGGTCACCGTGTGTGACTGTTATGCCGTTTGTGAAATTACCCATCTCATGAACAAGGTAGTTATTTTGGCTAGTTTATGAAATGGGTTCCTAACCTAACCTAACTTTGGAGTACCATAGGTGGTGAGTACCATCTTTCATATGTATCATGTAACATCCGTCATGTGTCTCATGTAACATCCTTCATGCCTCTCATGTATCATGTACCAGTACTCATTACTGTGTAAACCTCAAACACACACACATACACACATATGCACACACACAAGTACTCATTAGGCTACTCTCTCCCACAGATCGTCGTTCAGCTTGGTATCGTTGGGAGGGACCCGTTACTGTAGCCCCTACGTTGGTCCTCAGAGACTTTGGCACTCATGGGGAAGGTAAGTACTGTACTATGATGGTGATATCTCTGTTAGCCAGAACAATTGGTGCAGAGCACTACCAGGAATAAGAGATTTCTGGGTAACGAGACAGCTCTCTCTAAGCCAGAAAAATCCCTCATCACAGGAATTTTCTGGGTAATAGAAAAATGTTCTCTTGGAAGTTCCCAAAATTGCACATTACATCATCTCTCCAACCTGGAAAAATATTTACCATCTGGAATATTCCAGAAAATGCTCCTGATTTTTATTTCTCAAACCCGAGAAAAAAAATCCCCCATCCCTGGAATTTTCTGGGTACTGGGAAAATTTTCTCGGGATTTTCCAGAAAATGTGCCCCTTGGAATATCATTCCCAAAGCCGTAATTTTTCAGAAAATTCCGGCTGTGGGAACGACTTTCTGAGAAAATTTAAATTTAAGCTATTGGAGGGTTCCTGTTAAGAGGGATTCCAGCTAAAGGAGATATTACTACATGCCATGATCATATGTTTCGCACATGTGTCCCTCGTGTATTGCACACCCGAATTGCACCATATTTTCTCAGTAGCATTTATAGATTTCGTTGTATTCCAGATATACTGTATATTGTAGTCTTTTTAAGACAAATGAGACAGGAGGAGCTGTTTATTGCTCGAACATTTCGACCACATAGCGTCTTCTTCAGAGAGTAAATACAAAAGACACAGACATGAACTTATATACGACTCGGGTCACTCACTTTTCTGGACGCCTCAGAACTCTGCCTTCTGATTGATTATTTTGCCTTGCTGACTCACCCTCTCCAATGATTGATTGATTGATTGTGGTACAGTAATTACATCCGTGGTAACACAACAGCTTAGGTTAAATGTTGCTGAATTAAACTAAGGGCTTAAAAGACTAAAATCAAATAATGCAAGGTAAAAAAACATGAGTAATAAATAACATAGAACTTTCGTAAAATCATTTAAACGTACTGTTCGTGAATAAAACTCAAAGCTTGTATAGAAGGCAGGCTTCTTCCATGAAGGAGAGGATGTTCCCTCCCACGCTACCCCCTCCCCCTTTCCACTACCAAAGAGAGACAGTAAGACCCGTCTCCCCACGGCACTGGCAGAGGTGCTTACAACTAAGAACTCTGAGACTGGGGCACTCCTCCAGGAGGTGTCGAACAGTCAATGGGACCAGGCAGTCACCACAATGAGTCAAGTGTGTGGGCCAATGTGGAGGTGGGGTAAAGCAGTCTTCCGGCAGCGTGACAGTCCCTGTTATCCCGAGGCACGCAATGCAGGGTGGATATCGTAGAGCTTGTTGGCTCTGACTGTCAGAGCTGACAGCATCCCACCTGCATTGCCAACTTGAGTGGATGGCAGCTGTTATTACTGGCTTCATATCAGAGGCAGATCATGACCTCATCTGCCGAAATGCAAGGTATTAGGTCAGGGGTTTTCAGGGAGACTTACAATTTTTTTCTGGAAATTGAAAAGTGACATGCTTAAATGGAAAAGTTAGTCTATATTCATGATAAAAAATATATAAGGGGGATTTAAAACCTAGGGGCACAGCATAATTGGCGTCTTAAATGTTACAAATGTGTTTTTTATTACATGGGTTCTCATTAATAACAGTAATTACTGGAATCAAAAATTTAAATGATGAACCCAGATCCTTCATGAGTATGTAAAAGAGTACCTTCATATGAAATTTGAGCAAAATATACGCCATGAACTCATCTGCTGAAATGCAAGGTATTAGATCAAGCATTTTCAGGACGACTTACTTTTTTGGGGGGTGGGAAGTGAAAACTACTATGCTTAAATGTTAAAATTAGTCTATATTGATGAGGAAATATATAGTATATAAGGGGGATTTAAAACTTACAGGCACAGCATAATTGACATTTTAAATATTCTGAAGGTGTTTTTTAAATGCAAGGGTCATTAATTAACACTAATTACCAAAATATAAAAATTATAAACCCAGATCCTTCATCAGCTTGCAAAGGAGTACATTTGAACACTGTGTTGAAGAATGACCCACTTGATGCTGTGGAGGACAACACTGTGTTGAAGGATGACTTACCTGAAGCTGGAGGACAGCACTGTGTTGAAGAATGACCCATTTGATGCTGTGGAGGACAACACTGTGTAGAAGGATGACCCACTTGATGCTGTGGAGGACAACACTGTGTTGAAGGATGACCCACTTGATGCTGTGGAGGACAGCACTGTGTTGAAGGATGACCCACTTGATGCTGTGGAGGACAACACTGTGTTGAAGGATGACCCACTTGATGCTGTGGAGGACAACACTGTGTTGGCCCATGATGCTGTGGTGGACAACACTGTGTTGAAGGATGACCCACTTGATGCTGTGGAGGACAACACTGTGTTGAAGGATGACCCACTTGATGCTGTGGAGGACAGCACTGTGTTGAAGGATGCCCATGATGCTGCAGAGGACAACACTGTGTTGAAGGATGACCCACTTGATGCTGTGGTGGACAACACTGTGTTGAAGGATGACCCACTTGATGCTGTGGAGGACAGAAACTGTGTTGAAGAATGACCCATTTGATGCTGTGGAGGACAGCACTGTGTTGAAGGATGACCCACTTGATGCTGTGGAGGACAACACTGTGTTGAAGGATGACCCACTTGATGCTGTGGAGACAACACTGTGTTGAAGGGTACTTGATGCTGTGGGGACAACACTGTGTTGAAGGATGACCACTTGATCTGTAGGACAGCTGTGTTGAAGGATGACCCACTTGATGCTGCAGAGGACAACACTGTGTTGAAGGATGACCCACTTGTGCTGTATGGACAACCTGTGTTGAAGGATGACCCACTTGATGCTGTGGAGGACGAAACTGTGTTGAAATGACTTTGATGCTGTGGAGGACAGCACTGTGTTGAGATGACCCACTTGATGCTGTGGAGACAACACTGTGTTGCAGGATGACCCACTTGATGCTGTGGAAGGCACTGTGTTGAAGGGTGACCCACTTAATGCTGAGACAACACTGTGTTGAAGGATGGCCCACTGATTGTGGAGGTCAACACTGTGTTGAAGGATGACCCACTTGATGCTGTGGACGACAACACTGTGTTGAAGGATGGCCCTTGATGCTGTGGAGGACAGCACTGTGTTGAAGAATGGCCCATTTGATGCTGTGAGGACAACACTGTGTTGAAGGATGACCCCCTTGATGCTGTGGAGGACATCACAGTGTTGAAGGTTATTGATGCTGTGGAGGACAACACTGTGTTGAAGGATGACCCACTTGATGCTGTGAGGACAACACTGTGTTGATGCTAGAGATAACACTGTGTTGAAGGATGACCCACTTGATGCTGTGGAGGACAACACTGTGTTGATGCTGTGGAGGACAACACTGTGTTGAGATGACCCACTTGATGCTGTGGAGGACAACACTGTGTTGAAGGGTGACCCACTTGATGCTGTGGAGGACAACACTGTGTTGAAGGATGACCCACTTGATGCTGTGGAGGACAACACTGTGTTGAAGGATATTTGATGCTGTGGAGGACAACACTGTGTTGAAGGATAACCCACTTGATGCTGTGGAGGACAACACTGTGTTGAAGGATAACCCACTTGATGCTGTGGAGGGACAACACGTGTTGAAGGATGACCCACTTGATGCTGTGAGGACAACACGTGTTGATGCTGTGGAGGACAACACTGTTGATGCTGTGGAGGACAACACTGTTGATATGTGGAGGACAACACTGTGTTGATGCTGTGGAGGACAACACTGTGTTGATGCTGTGGAGGACAACACTGTTGATGCTGTGGAGGGCAACACTGTGTTGATGCTGTGGAGGACAACACTGTTGATGCTGTGGAGGACAACACTGTTGATGCTGTGGAGGCAACACTGTGTTGATGGTGGAGGACAACACTGTTGATGCTGTGGAGGACAACACTGTGTTGAAGGATAACCCACTTGATGCTGTGGAGGACAACACTGTGTTGAAGGATGACCCACTTGATGCTGTGGAGGACAACACTTTGTTGAAGGATAACCCATTTGATGCTGTGAGACAACACTGTGTTGAAGGATGACCCATTTGATGCTGTGGAGGACAACACTGTGTTGAAGGATAACCCACTTGATGCTGTGGAGGACAACACTGTGTTGAAGGATGACCCACTTGATGCTGTGGAGGACAACACTGTGTTGAAGGATGACCACTTGATGCTGTGGAGGACAACACTGTGTTGAAGGATGACCCACTTGATGCTAACAACACTGTGTTGGAGGCAACACTGTGTGAAGGATGACTTGATGTGGGAGACAACACTGTGTTGAAGGATGACCCACTGATGTGAAGGACAACACTGTGTTGATGCTGTGGAGACAACACTGTTGATGCTGGAGGACAACACTGTTGATACTGTGGAGGACAACACTGTGTTGAGGCTGTGGAGGACAACACTGTGTTGATGCTGTGGAGGACAACACTGTTGATGCTGTGGAGGGCAACACTGTGTTGATGCTGTGGAGGACAACACTGTTGATACTGTGGGGACAACACTGTGTTGATGCTGTGGAGGACAACGCTGTGTTGATACTGTGGGGACAACACTGTGTTGATACTGTGGGGACACTGTGTTGATACTGTGACCACTGTGTTGATACTCTGAGGACAACACGTTGATACTGTGGAGGACAACACTGTGTTGATGCTGTGGAGGACAACACTGTGTTGATACTCTGGAGGACAACGCTGTGTTGATACTGTGGAGGACAACACTGTGTTGATACTCTGGAGGACAACACTGTGTTGATGCTGTGGAGGACAACACTGTGTTGATACTGTGGAGGACAACGCTGTGTTGATACTGTGGAGGACAACGCTGTGTTGATACTGTGGAGGACAACACTGTGTTGATGCTGTGGAGGACAACACTGTGTTGATACTCTGGAGGACAACACTGTTGATGCTGTGGAGGGCAACACTGTGTTGATGCTGTGGAGGACAACACTGTT